CTCACCCTACTTGTAGACTAGTTGAATGCCAATGTCATCCTCCTCTCTTTCATGTTGGCAAAACGGTCTATGGCTATGTCATACAGTACCCTTTTAGTTTTTGTTTTCATAGGCTGCCTCGCTAAAATGCTTGCTAGCCTAACTTCCTCGCATGGGCAAAAATGAACCAGCTAAGTTAGCTAGCTAGTTAACGTGAGCCTACTAGGTTACAACTAGGCTACATATTGAACTTTAATCGTCTCAGGCCAGTGGCACAATATATGAATTAATAGTTAGATTAGAATCGCCGTCATAATCATTGGCCTGTAAAGAGAATTAAGTCAAAACCACAAGTCTAAATCCACATCTCCAGCCATGGCTTAGGAAAGGGCTGATTTAGCAAGCTAGTCACTCCAGGACATCAACACAAGCAGACCAGAAACAGACACGTATGACTGACAATTATGAAGTTTTGCTTAGAATGTGATTTGATTGGTGTGAAGCCAAATCCAAACTGGCCTCCGTCTGTGTTAATGATCCCTGTCTTATTGTGCTTGGAAGCTAGGGGGTGAGAGATGAGTAACAAAATATGCAGTGTGTTGGCACTTTACATATCCAACTGATGACTTCATAGATGGAGAGCCCGCCTACAGGTATGTCCCCGTCCATTTGTTCATCTTCTGTCCCCTCATTCTGCACCTGCACCTTTTTCCCGTTCTCTCCACTCTTTTGTGCTTTCTCCTTTTGCCCACACCCCTTTCACGTTGTCGCCATCTTATCGTCCCTTTTCCAGCACCCTTCATTCTTAATTTCACCCCTGGCTGGTTCACTTGCTCCCCGTCCCTCGTGGCTCAGAAGGAGAGACGGAAATTGGAAGAGGAAAGAGAAATGGAAAGAACAAGATGTGCCCTTTGGCTGACCTCTTGTTCAACACCCACGGCTGGGAGATGGTCCACTTTGTTTTGTGTGCTAAATAACATAATTTCTCTCATTTAATTTCCTCAGTTTTTCTAATGAGAGGACAAACAACTTGAGAATAGTACTCAGAACCATACAATGCCAATGTGAATTATCTTAAGACATGTATAGAATAAATCAAACAACACACCCTTTTTCCACACACGTGTGTGCTTGTGTGTGTGTGTGTCCTCTTCTTCTCTGTCACCCTCTCTGGTGTACTGTATGTGTCGTCATCTTTAATCTTCTTGTCCCATTGTTCTCTATAGACCACAGGTAAGTGGGAGCAGCCCCTGCAGAATGCAGAATGACAGCACCTGCCGAAGGTACAAACAGCAACACTACAAACAATGAGCCTCTGTTTGATGTCAAGCATTCATCTGTTTCCTGCTCCTACAAATTGTAGCATTGGTGTGGGCTTTAATCAGGGGTGGGAGGTGACGTGGAGAGAGAGAGAGAGGAGAGGAAGAAAGAGAGAGAAATGGACGTTGTATCTCTCTTTTCCATCTATTCGTATGATGAGTAGCTCATAAGTAGCTAATTTCATCACATACTTATATGTTTTCATATACTGTAAAGAAAGGTGCTGTGTAAGGACTAGCAAGCAGAGAACATAACGGAAACCAATTCTTCTTCTTCCATGGGTTTATAGGTTTACTTGAAGGACTGTAACTTAATGGTACTGACAGAAGAACACCAGGGGCTGTTCTTCACTGCCACGGAGGAAGCATGACTTTGCCACCAGTGCCCTCCTCATGTTCTCCAATCCACACAGTGATTTAGTGGGGAGTGTACTCTGTATCCACTCACAGACCCAACAAGTGGCTCAACTGGAGATTGCATAGGAATCTGAAGGGCAGCCTCATGATTAATTCTCCATCATGGTTCTGTCTGTATGAAATGATCTCCTGGCTATTTGCAACAGAAGGAGACCATTGTATAACAGACAAACACTGCTCTTTGTGGAGAATAAGAGGAGAGTGAGTGAGATGTGACATGTTGATGGATGGTTGTGTGGAGGAGTGGGCCTTGGATATGGTTATAGGGCCAGGAGATTCTTCTGATCAGAGCAGGAACAACGTGGGCGCTCTGTTCCTCTGTATTCCTGTATTCTAGACACCCTTTGATCAGATAATTGCCCCTCAGACCCGGAGTTTGAAGGCCCTAAGGGTCACTATGGCAACGTGGCTCGCTGTCCGATGTTCCATTGAGTGGTCTTTAGTGGGCCCAGCTTGTGTGGGAAGGGGTGCTGGGCGTGCTGAAAGAAACAGGTTGACATGCTCCATGGGGCACACTGGTCAGTTTAATTGTATCTCTTTAAAAAACAATACATTTGCAATTTTAAAAAATAAAAGGAAAAATAAAATATTATTAAAAAAACAAAAGAAAACACAACAGAGCATTTTATGTGTAATGCCTGTGTTAAATTAATGAAGTTCATGGTGAAAGGTAAAATAGGTGCGTGCTTATATATGTCCTGTTTCACTGTATGTACAAGTGGGTAACCTGTACAAGTGTGAGGTGTGAAATGTGTTTTTTGCATAACCCAACTCCCCCTGAGACACTCTCAGAGAGTGGGGTCACAGCCATGGTGAAATTTAGGTCTGTATATGGTAACAATACAGTTTCACATTTAAAGTGGAAGATAGGACAACCTTATGCAGAGGCTGTTGCATAAGTGGATTCCTTCATCCTCCGATTTGCTGAACGTCACACAGTGGGACTCTGTAGCTCAATTGGTAGAGCATGGCGCTTGTAACGCCAGGGTAGTGGGTTCGATCACCGGGACCACCCATACGTAAAAATGTATGCGCACATGACTGTAAGTCGCTTTGGATAAAAGCGTCTGCTAATTGGCATTATTATTATTACGTGTGTGTCATATCAAATCAATCAAATTGTATTTGCCACATGCGCCGAATACAACAGGTGTAGACCTTACAGTGAAATGCTTACTTACAAGCCCTTAACCAACAATGCAGTGTGTGTGTGTGTTTTGCACAGATAATTGTGTTTTGCGCTAAAAAAAAAAGCCCTGCTCTGAGTGGAATTGGTTTCTCCTACACTGTGCAAATAGCCCATATTTGTTGCTATGCTAATGCTCCACTACAGACTATGCAATGGCTCCCAGATGCATAATGACAGAATCACACAAGCTAGCATCTTGTTTTACAGCAGTGATCCGATCACAAACACTCCAACCTACACATCGCACCATACTAGATATTTTATCTTGCTCTCTCTCTCACTCATCATTTCTGTTCAGTGTACGCACACACTCTCTCTCGTTCTTTCTTTCTGTCTCTCTCTCATGGACCATGCAGGTGTAATAAATGAAAATATGTCCACCATTCATATTGGTGCGCGAGCACACACACACACACACACACACACACACACACACACACACACACACACACACACACACAGTATAGTAGGGGAGTGTCGTATGCTTACTAGACCATTGTTTTTTAAAGGTTCGTTTTGACTTGTTGTGACTAGTTTTTAATTCCTTTTTTTGAAATCCCTCAGACATGCCTCAATTGCAAAATACAATTTGAACTTCCTGAAATTATTTATCTAATAGACTAAAGCAAGGTGTGTGTGGTGTGTGTGGGGTGTGTGTGTGTGTGTCAGTGTAAGTAAGTTTAGGGATATAACAAGTGATTTCTGTGAGTAGCTCATCCACCAGTCTGTTGTGAAATAAAGTCTTCTTTGCTGGGGGCTGATTTGGGTATAATCCTAAAATCCTACAGGAAAACGAAACATTCTATAATACTTCCCCTGATAATTTGCGAAAGAAAAATAATTATGCCATTTTGCGGACCTTTTTCCAAAGCATAATACATTCGTGCCTTGGCGTGGTCCGGGTCAACCCACTACCTTGCGTTACAACGCTTTGTACCAACATGCTAGACCACAAAAAATGTATGACTCAACACAAATACTATCTCCCCCTAAAATGCTATGGCAAATGTCCAAGAGATTATATTAATCTCCAATAATTCACCCATATCAACACAGAAGTACAGAAGTTTCTGAAATAGGACATTGTTTATTGAACAGTACAAAGCATGTTTGACATGGGTATGAGTGGTCAACTCTGACATCCTGCAATCCTGTTTATAAAGCTTCGTAAAACTCCTGGTTTAATAATACAAATGATTAATAATATAATAACACATATAACAGTAATAATAATATAAATATTTTTTATGAAACAACATTGCTTTTAACTCTCCTATCTTTCAGTAAAGGTATATTTGACTGCGTAATGGCACTGGAATGGTTGTAAGCTTTGTATTCTGCAAACTGTTGTCGGAAGTCCGCAGTCAACCGTTTTAGACCATACAAGGATAATGTATGCTTATGTTTTGCAGTAGTGACATTTTATTATTTTCTTAAAAGCACTTTGGAAGTCTTTGTTGAAGTATGCGTAAATTATGGGATTCAGTAGGGAGTTGGAGTACCCGAGCCAGTTAATGACGTCCTCGAGCCACTTTGGCATTTGGCACGACTGGCAAAAGGGCATTACCAGGGCGACGATAAAGAAAGGCAGCCAGCAAAATATAAAAGTGCCCATAATAATACCCAGCGTCTTTACAGTTTTGCGCTCTCTGGCCATGGCCATCTTTCTCTTTGCCTCCATGTTCTTATCGTGTCTGCTCTCAAAGAGCGGTTCGGAGTTGGGGGTGTTGGGGAGTGGCAGGTTGCTTTTCGAGTTGCTGGGAACCTCGATGATCTCCAGCGACTCGCCGTCCTCCGCGTGCTTGACGGCGCCGTTTACGCACAGGGTCGGTTTGGGCTCCACGCTCCTCTTCCAGCTTTTACTCGGGTCCCCGTTGGTCCTCTTGTGGAACAGAGCAGGGGACAGTGCCAAACGAGAATCAGACACTTTCTTTTTATCTGTTTTACGCACTGTTCTCCTGATTCTAAACCTGGCGGCTTTGAATATCCGTCCATACAAGACTAACATGAGTATCAACGGAATGTAGAACGCGCCGAATGTTGAGTAGATTGTGTACCAGGGGTCTCGACTAATGACGCACTGCTCGGGATTTGCTATGTCCTCGGCCTTACTACTCGGCTGGGAACGCATGATCAACATGGGTGGAACAGAGATAGAGAACCCGACAAACCAAGTGACACTGATCAGAACCGCCGCTCTTCTGGGCGTCCTCTTCTTCATATACTCTATGGGTTCGGTAATGGCCCAGTACCTGTCCAAGGCGATGGCGCACAGGTGCAGTATGGATGATGTACAACATAACACATCTAAAGAGATAAAAATGTCACACGGTACCTGTCCGAGAGCCCACCTGTTTAAGACTTGGTAAAGGGCCGCCATTGGCAACACCAGAACTGATACCATCAGATCAGTCACGGCCAGAGACCCGATCAGATAGTTCCCTACATTCTGAAGATTTCTCTCCAGGGCGATAGCTGCAACCACACACGCGTTACCAAATATGGCACAGAGAATGAGCGCGGCCAGGAGAAAGGACGGGAAGATTTGGGAACTTAGTTTCACCTCCTCTGAATCAGCTGTCGAGGTTTCGTTTTGAAAATCAAATAGAAACCATGCGGCCGTCGAGTTGTTTCTTTCCTCCATGTTGATGAAAAAGGAAGCGCTCCTCAGTTACTTTGTATCATCTCCAGTGCGCAACAGAGCTCCACCCTTGGAGACCGCATGGTGATCTTGAACTGGACTCTCTGTGCCGCGCGCTTAGCATTGCATACACTCTGTGCCAGTTGGTGACGACTGACGAGGCGGTACATTTATACCAGTGATGGAAAATACGTCAGTTGGCTGTGAGGTTGAAGAGAGATTTTCTGTCCACACCTACAGTTGGACTCTCTGAGGGAGTGCGCGCAGTGAGATGCAGGTGCTATCAACCCTTTACCAACAGGTTTTGATAGAGCGGCAATGACAATTAATTGGACATAGACACACACACATACATACACACACACACACACACACACACACACACACACACACACACACACACACACACACACACACACACACACACACATACACACACACTAGTTTTCAACGTTTTTATTTGTATTATGTATTAATTATTCAATGTTTAGAGAAGAGCAAGAGCCTAAATTCTTCTCGAAAACCCCAGCTGTAACGGAAACAGTAGGGCTATGCCTATCCTTTCTCAATTATGAAAATAATAAAAACGAATCTGCCATTGCTGTTCTTGCTTCAAAATAAAGATATAGAATTTATTGAAGTTTCCCCTCAGATCAGCACCATGGCCAGCGTAACTCGCTGTGAGCAGGTCTGATGCTGCCACCTGGCGAAGGCCTACATGGCAGAGAGGATGACTTATGAAGTTTGGTGCATCTGACGCTCCGTAACTAGAAGCAATGACGTCATTGCCCTCTAACCTTCCGGAGTTCGACGAATTGTTCTTCTATTAAAATGTAAATAACTCGTTTCGAGGGAACGCATAGGAATTTGGAAATCCCAGGTAGGATATGGTATTTTATCAGTATGGCCATTGTTTCAAATGCCATCGTCATAAACATTTGCATTTGGCAATTTTTTTTTACAGGAATGTTGACCTATCAACACACCGCCACACGAGACGAGAGGAGTTTTGTTGTTTAGATTTTTGCTTGCTAGATGTAGCTCAAGCTGGCATGGGTTGTTTTGTAATTCATGATATTAATAATAAACATTTACTTTTGGATATTGCCTTTTTTATTGTCTTTACGTAATGGATAAAAGACAATATCTAAATAAAGCGTAAATGTTTATTAGCTGTTATATCATGAATTTTGCATTACGCTACTGTATAGGGCTATGGCCATGCAAGGTCAGAGTAACTGCATCTATGAGCAAGATTGAGTAGATAGGCCTACTGTGTCAATTTTGACTCTTAGTTGAAATGTTGTCCGTTATGTTAAAATGCAGGCTATATACGAATATAGGTACACATACAGTAAACCGTTTTTCCAGAAAAATTCCCATTAGCCTTATCACCTGTGCTGAATGTATGTCACCTGTTCTGGTATCCTCTCCATGAGAGGAAATAAATGCTCCCTGCCTATGTGTCTGTGTGTTGGCATGTAGCCTACTGTGCCCTCTTTTTCATTGCTGTTCTCATTTGCCACAGAATCAGACATCAGTCTCAATGGACAACCCAGGCGCGGTGGCTATGCTCCGCTGCAGGAGGTGTCGTAAAGGCTTTGTAGATGCAACGTGCCTGCATCCGGTGGGTGACAGTGGGTTACTTTTACAGCTAGTATAGTGTATGTAAAGCACATCGGAAAGCATTCTAGTTCTGACTCCCAAGACAATATTTCATAGGCTGTGCATCAAGCATCTCATGCTGCATTCGCACAGGCAGCCCAATTCAGATAATTTTTCCACTAATTGGTATTTTGACCAATCACATCAGAGCTTTCACATCAGATCTTTTTCAGAGCTGATCGGAAGAAACAAAGCCTCAGAGTAGTAATCTTATTCATTGTAATCTAAAAGGCTAAACTGATCCTAAATCAGCACCCCTACTCTGAGACGTGTTACACACAGCCCCTGATATGCCCTGCCTTAGACTGCAAAAACATCCAAGTAATGTTGGGTGTAGCAAAGGTCAGTGACTGCAGTCCAAACAATCCTGTCATTCCCGCCTAAGGTTCATGAAGTCAGTAAGATGACCAATAGCTCACATTCTGATTCATGTAACTGTAACAGTGTTGCTTCCATCCCTCTCCTTGTCCCAACCTGGGTTGTAAAGAAGGGGTCAGCAACAGGCGCCCGCCTGTGATTTTATTTTGCCCCCCAAAGTCTTTATAAGAAAAAATAAAAATGAAATGAAAGACTAAAACCACCAGTAATTCATCTTAAAGTCTGTTCCCAAGTATTCCCACGAATAAAAAATGTAATCAAGGTATGAAATGATTGTTATTTTCAAATACAAGCTCTTTTTGGGCTTAGTTGTCAATTTGCCGTGTACAAGTTATCTTAATTATGTACAGGCCCCCTGACCATCCTCTCCGACAAAAATCGGCCCACGGCTAAATCTAGTTTCCTACCCCTGATGTAAAGTATGTCAGTGGTAGGGGAGAAAATAGAGCAGCACGTCTTTTTTAGCATTTTAGTATTTGATTAGCATCCCCATTAGCCAATGCTAACACAGCAGCTACTCTTCCTGCGGTCCACACAAAACATGACATGATACAAAACATCAATAGACAATAACAACTCAAAGATAGAACTACACATATTTAAAATAAGAATACACACTTTCATACACTTAGACAAAACATCAATAGACAATAACAACTCAAGGACATAACTACATACATTTAAAATAAGTATATACACTTTTATACACTTAGGCTACTGTATATCACTAAAGAACAACAACACATAGCTTTCGCAACGCACAGCGCTGCTTTTACCTAAACCACTTAAGACACACTTATTCAATCAATCATACGTTCACATTTACGCCGGCACATACATTTCACTATCTTGCTTATATGAAATAACAGTCCATCAGACAGAGTTTCACCATAGGTCCTTCACTCCTGTTCAGTTCATAAAAGGAAAAGAACAATGTGTCTTCTCTAGAGAGAGCCAGGCTGGTGTTATAACATATGGTTAGGAGTTGACCGGGTCTGAACTGGGTAAAGATGGGAGTTTATCTCCCAACAGATAGTGCCTGATGATAACCCAGAGGCAGCAGGGACATGCAGCGTCTGGCACATGAATGTTGATACACTGCCAGAGTGGATACTGACGTCAGTTCACCAGGTAAGGGTGTGTGTGTTTGTGTTTGTACAGGGGTGTGCTAGTGTTTGATTTTGCACTGTGTTCTTTTGCAACCTTTGGATCAAAATTTCAGACAAGCCTCTCAGTTCTTTCTGTTCTAATGTCCTCTTTCTGCAGGCCCAGTGGGCAGTGGGGAAGCTGAACTGCGAGAACTGTGGTGCTCGCCTGGGTGGCTTCAACTTTCTCAACAGCACCAAATGCCCCTGTGGTCAGCAGTCCAGTGTGCACCTTAGCAAGAGTCGGGTCGACCAGGACCACAAACACTCCCTTCATGTGGTCAGACCCCAGATGACGAGAGATAGGGGAGGACCGGGCTGCCTGAAGGGCGAGCCGGGGGGTTCTCACAGTGAGCAGGACAGGTCAGAGGTCGGGGAGGACTTTCTGGTTGGCTCACAGCTCTGCTGTACTTCTGTGTCCCGCCTTAATGCTGAGAGCCAACCAATCACAACACACCCAGATGCCTTTTACCAGTTGGCTGACATCAGAGCCACCCAATCAGTTCCATTGAGCTCCCCCAGCATTGTTTCTCATAGGAAGTCTGGTGCGAGGGGCAGGTTGGAACCCTCCTGTAGCTCTGACTCCCAGACTGGCCCTGTAGAAGAGACTGAGGGAGAGGTGAGGACTCGGACAGAGCAGTTGCACCCTTCACCTGGTTTGTCCTACACCCCTCATCTACTTGCCACTAGTATTATTAGGTCACCTACCTGCCTATCACCTCTGACTAGAGAGGCCCCTGGTTCTCCTCTTCTTTCCCTGAGAGGGCCAGGTGTCTCCCACATCCCTGGGGAGCAGGAGGAGGACGTGGAGGAGGACGTGGAGGAGGAGAGATGGGGGACTCCCACAGAGCTCCAGGCCCAGCTAGTAGCCGCCAATGCTTCTCCAGCCCTACAAAGGTTCAGCAAGAGAGAGAAGAACCGGCTGAAGAGCCAGAGGAGGAAACAGAGGAAGAAAGAGCGCTGGCTCCACTCCCAGGAACAGGTAAGAATTGGTCATGGCCTCAATTGAGATGGTAAGTCAAACATTCATACAGTTTAGTTTGTCCAGTATTTTAGTTACATTGCACTTTTGTGAGATTATTCTTGACCATTTTGTTGAGCTAACCAGAAGACCACAGTGGAGTCCCTGTGGTTGTTAGTCTGACAGTGTTTACCACAAGCAGTTACATGTATGGCACACATTTCCAAGTCCCTCACCTTACTTTGACTGTCTGGAAAGGGGGAAAGTTATATCTTGCCTTTGATAATGTCGTCGCTCATCAGCTAAGCAAACACAGGGCAGAAGATTAGTGAGTTGGGCGTTGCCCGCCAGGTGGGTGACTACATTTCCCTTTGTTGTCAGCAGTAGCAGAGATATTGTTGGTTGACAGTGGCCAGTGTAGACCTACAGTGTATATGATTGAGAGACACTTACATTACTGTGGAGTGTGGACTACAGGTACTACGCTTGTTCTAATCTGACTGACCGTAGAAAAGAACAACACCATGGCCTTCTCTTATGGTGGTACCCAGGGAGTTTAATTGTTTTTGGTTGATAGCTTTTAAGCTCAAGCCCTTCCACAAAACACTCTGGTTGGCTCACAGCTCTGGTTACAGTCGGTCTCTGTGATATGGGTATTTTAATTGGGGTGACTAGTGCATGTCAAAAAGCCATCCGTTCTGCCCAAACCAAAGACTCTATTGCCTGTGAGTATTCTCTCACAATGACACTCGACGGGCTGATTGGAGTGCTCTCATATCATGTGAGCATCATGTGCAAAGTAAACAAAGAGATGTAAAAAGCAACAAATGGGCCAAATGTCCCCTCCCTTTCCGAAATTCAAAAGATGCAAGCACCTATGAAGTCGTGATTTGTCCAAATGATCAGTGACGACAAATCAAAGTGCCAGAAACAAAGTTCCTCATTAGTCGTCACATCCCACAGTCTGTTGACAGACGCTATGAAACCATTTATGTTACGTGCGTCTGTCCACAAGACATTAGTAGTACTATTATGTTACTGTTAGATATTATTTTCCAGATTGCCTCACTATTATTTTATCTTATTGTATATAGAGTGTGACAGGGCTGCTAACAGACAGTGAGGAGGTGGACAGAGAGGGCTACACCTGCGCAGTGTGCCTGGATGTCTACTTCAGTCCCTATAGCTGTCACCCCTGTGGCCACATCTTCTGTGAGCCCTGCCTCCGCACGCTGGCCAAGAACCGGCCGGCCAACACCCCCTGTCCCCTCTGCCGCACCCTCATCTCACACACACTCTTCCAGAAAGGTGAGCTACAGACTCCTCCCAATGTTTCCGTTATTGATAACAAATAGCTGTTTGCTCCATAGCTGTAAATGGTAAGAAGCCCTTTTAGAGTTTTAACTACATTTGTTTTATTGCCTTTTGGTTTCAGAGCTCAACCAGACAGCTAAGACTTTCTTCCCAAAGGTCTACCACTCACGGAAGCACAACTTTCAAAAAGCCAACTGTGCTAAATTGCCTCTTCCCAACTGCCAAAAACGTTTCCGCATCTTTTGGGGTGAGGTATATTGTGTATTGTGGATGTATTGTGTATTGCTTTCTGTAACTCAGTTTGTCTTATTTTTGTGGGGTCTTGTAAGCTCTTATGCAACAAACATGTTATAAGTATCATGTAACTAATTAGTTTCTCACAAAGTGAATGTATTTTTTAGTTAACTAGCATGCAAAGCTTGAGCAGTTTCCTTAACAGTAACCCATTATTGTAAAGTTGTACACTAGGGACTGTGTCTGCCTCCCTCTCTGACTCCAGTCTTCCTGTTTGTATCCCAGGGTACCAGAGGCAGGAGGCTCCAGGGAGGTGGTGGCACTTTGCCCCAGCAGGCTTCGCCCTGGATGCCCTGGACCTGGCCGACATGCGCGGCTGGTTCTTCGACATTGACCTGGTCATCATCTACATCCACTCTGTCAACTGGATACTGGCCCTGTTGGTTCTTTGCCTCCTAGCATACTTCTTCTTGTCTTGAGTGCTGTTCGTATGTTTAGCCAGGGATGGCTGACCTCTAAAAATGGTACAGCTGGGGTTTCTGGGTGATGTAGTATTCTGCATTGTGCCTATTAGTGCCTACTGCCAGGTAACTCACCTGTCACCTACATATGTAAACTGGAATCAAGAGCAGTCCTGAGTAGCACTGGAACTGTGAGGTGTTTTTTTTGTTGCAGTTTTGGAGGTCATGTATAAAAATACCAGTACTCACATGAAGTTGTGTATAGGCCTATTTCATATTTTGTGAGAGTTTCACCCTCAATCTTTTCACTGTAAATCCACAAATGTTTTATGAGGGATAGAAGTGTAATAGAAGTGAAAATAAAAGAACAATAATTTTGATTGTTTCAAAAAATCAGGTTAGGAAATGGCTTTGCACTGAGATCTATAATAATAGGCCTTTTGACAGATGTATGACCAGTGGGCCCACTCTGTCAAGGACTTCCCTCAGATCATCAACATGAAGGCAGCATAATCACATACATCTCATATAACTATAAACGTTTTATTCAATATACACTACATGACCAAAAGTATGTGGACACCTGCTTGTCGAACATCTCATTCCAAAATCATGGGTATTAATATGGAGTTGGTCCCCCCTTTGCTGCTATAACAGCCTCCACTCTTCTGGGAAGGCTTTCTGTATGTGACTGTAAGTACTGTTATTGTGAAATGGAAACGTCTAGGAGTAACAACGGCTCAGCCGCGAAGTGGTAGGCCACACAAGCTCACAGAACGGGACTGCCGAGTGCTGATGCGCGTAATAATCGTCTGTTGCAGGGACTTGCTTCCATTCAGCCACGAGCATTAGTGAGGTCGGGCATTGATGTTGGGCGATTAGGCCTGGCTCGCAGTTGGCGTTCCAATTCATCCCAAAGGTGTTCGATGGGGTTGAGGTCAGGGCTTTGTGCAGGCCAGTCAAGTTCTTCCACACCGATCTCGACAAACCATTTCTGTATGGACCTCGCTTTGTGCACGGGGGCATTGTCATGCTGAAACAGGAAAGGGCCTTCCCCAAACTGTTGCCACAAAGTTGGAAGCGCAGAATTGTCTAGAATGTTATTGTATGCTGTAGCGTTAAGATTTCCCTTCACTGGAACTAAGGGGCCTAGCCCGAACCATGAAAAGCAGCCCAAGACCATTATTCCTCCTCCACCAAACTTTACAGTTGGCACTATGCATTGGGGCAGGTAGCGTTCTCCTGGCATACGCCATACCCAGTTTTGTCCGAGGGATTGCCAGATGGTGAACCGTGATTAATCACTCTGGAGAACACGTTTCCACTGCGCCAGAGTCCAATGGCGGTGAGCTTTACACCCCTCCAGCCGACGCTTGGCATTGCGCATGGTGATCTTAGGCTTGTGTGCAGCTGTTCGGCCATGGAAACCCATTTCAGGAAGCTCCCGAACAACAGTTATTGTGCTGACATTGCTTCCAGAGGCAGGTTGGAACTCGGTTGTGAGTGTTGCAACCAGGACAGATTATTTTTACACGCTATGCGCTTCAGCACTCGGCGGTCCCGTTCTGTTAGCTTGTGTGGGCCTACCACTTCACGGCTGAGCCGTTGTTGCTCCTAGACGTTTCCACTTACAGTTGACCGGGCAGCTCGAGCAGGGCAGAAATTTAACAAACTGACTTGTTGGAAAGGCGGCATCCTATGACAGTGCCACATTGAAAGTCACTGAGCTCTTCAGTAAGGCCATTCTACTACCAATGTTTGTGTATAGAGATTGCATGGCTGTGTGCTCGATTTTATACACCTGTCTGCAACGGGTGTGACTGAAATAGCCGAATCCACTAATTTGAAGGGGTGTCCACATACTGTTGTATATATAGTGTATTTTAGTATTATTGCAATTTTGTGTGTTGCAGGGACTCATTGTAAAATGTTGTCTTACCAATGTGTCATTCAGTGTATTACCAATGATGGACATCTTATATACATTTTACAGAACAAATAGCCAAATCACAGGTAAGTTATGTGTCAAATGTACCGTTTTCATTGGTTTGCAATTGTGGTGACAATAATAAATGGGTTTGCTTGTAGCCTAAATGTCTGTATTCTTCTGTATCTCACATCGGTCGGGGACGCACGATGAGATCTGCTTTGAGCAGTCATATTCCTGCTGGTCTTTGAATGTGCTCATGCCAGATACGAATAATATTTGGAGATATTTGCGTTTACTCAATACTTTCCTGCGACAGACCCGCTTGCTTTGGAGTCGTCGACGCCTGAACAGTTAACGGGATGTCGGAGCAGTGACAAATGGTTGTCTCAGGCTCCCGGTGAATTCGCTTCTCAAGTGAAGGCACGACAGAAGACCGTTCAGCCGCAGTTGGCCTTCTGCTGGGGTGAAGGTGACTCGCTTCGCTGCTGAGGAGAGAGATGCAGAGAAGGAGCTGCGAGCCATGCGCTACTAGCACTCGTCCAGTCGTCCTGCAAGCTGAACATACGAATACTATAGATAGGCTGTCCGTGGGGTTTTATCAGTGACTGTGTATGCATGTGTTCTGCACTGAACCGGCGCATTAACCGCCCAAGATCCGCAGCGAACATTTTTCAGCTCGGCAAACCACCGCAGAGGGACCCGGAGCGCCGGGAGAGTACCGAGAGCGCGCGGAAAGCCCAGCGGGCCGTAGGTGACTGTAGGATGGTGAGATATGATCTATCGTGCCGTATTGGTAGAAGCTATGGAGTAATCTCTGTCATACTAGTATAAGAGCAGACACTGTAACCTACACATATTTTCCCCACAACAAATTAAAATGCGCAACCGTGGATATTATAAATATAATTAACCAGAGACACATTTTTTTTTACCAAGCTACATTTATCTGCCAACTAAGTCGTACATGGGAGTCCAGGAGCCATAAAGAAATTAATTTAAGACTGTCCTTGAATGGTTTCTTAACGCTTTAAGGTGCGATAGACGAAATAATGTACGTTGCACTCACAAGGGCATGTCACAAGGATAGCTACTACAATATTACACCAAAGTGCCACAATTAGTAGGTATATATATATATATATATATATATATATATATATATACCTACTAATTGTGCATATATACCTACTAATTGTGGCACTTTGGTGTAATATTGTAGTAGCTATATATATATATATATATGTCTTTATAGTGCAATAGTGTTATTATTAAAGTGTAGGCCTATATTGGGCCCTTGAAAACCTATAGAGCTATGCATTGACTTGCTGAAAGGGGTTATTTGTACATGTTGCTTCTCAGACTGTCCAAGAATTCAACACTCTCGTGGCGCTGTACCGAGAACAGGTCATCTCTATTGGGGAGATTTCTGCCGATTGTCCCTCTTTACGGGCGGTGCTGCACCGTACCAGGACCAAAGGATGCGCTATGGCCCAAGCTGCCCATCAGAACCTCACCGTGATATCTGGGTCTGGGTAAGGAATCTACGTCTACGATATACGGATAGGCTACAGTTTGATGAATGTGATCTGTTGACGTCTTCAATCGTCACTGGAGCTGTCCATGGTGCTAGTGTCTGTCAAACCAAGGCGCGCTATTCGACAGGATAATTCAATACAGTAACAGGGTTGGGGTCAATTCCATTTCAATTCAGAAAGTAAACCAAATTCCAATTCCACATTTTCCTAAAACCCATTAAAGAGAATTGGTATTGGAATTTCAGTGTAGGCTGCTTCCTGAATTGACTGTAATTCAAATGAAATTGACCCCAAGCCTGTAGAGTAGCCTACTTGGAATGTATGATACAGTTACTGGACGTGATATGTTGACGTCTTCAATTGCCACTGGAGCTATCCATGGTGCTAGTGTGTCAATCCATGTTGTGCCCTTCGACAGGACTGCTCTATATAGTAACCTGTTTTACCAACGTGCTTTGCTTTATCAAGAAGGTGCTGTACTAGGCTACTTTTAAAATAATCGAAATTCTGTATTTTTAACATTTCCAGGAAATAATTTCTACAGTGTTTCTACAGTGGAAAATAAAAGAAAGTGCACCCCATTACATAAAGTGTGAATAATCTCACACTTTGACTGTGACACCAGCCTATAGCCTACTCATGAATTACCTGCTCTCTGGTTAGCCATTAAAGACCCCTCACACCTTCAGTCCCTTTAGAGCAAGGATGGGCAATTAGCGCCAGCGGCCCTCTTTTTGTAGGCCCATGGATCAACAAAATTTCACTTCGGGCCCCCAAAAGGCTAGGGTCGGCTCTGACTGCATGTGTGAGTATGGATGTGGGTATGCAGACCCTCAAGCTACTGTAGCCCCTCATGATGAGTTCAGAGTTTTTGTGGCCCCCACCCACATCAAAGTTGCCCATCCCTGCTTTAGAGCCAGGGGGATTCATGAAGGGCTAGGGTAGATTTGAAACTGTCCATTCTCCTACTGTGTGTGTATGTGCTGTAGGCCAGAGGATGGGGAGATCCACCCAGAGATCTGCCGGCTCTTCATCCAGCTGCAGTGCTGCCTGGAGATGTTCATCACGGAGATGCTCAAGTCCATGTGTCTACTGGGGGTGCTGCAGCTCCACAGGAAAGGTGAAATACCGATCTCAACCGGCAGAGGGCAGGGTAGTTCAGATTATTTTTTTCAGTGCATCATATCAAGATAGAGAGCAGTATGTCTACACACAATGAAAATAAGTAGCTACAATCATGAAACACATGGCATCACAGGTTACCCAGTATTATATGTTGATCATATGCAAATCCCCCTTCCCAGGAAAGTATTCGTACCCGGAGCCCAGGCTGGACTTCAAGATGGATGAGAGCTCTGATGTACCAATCCTGGAGGAGCGCTCCTCCTCACCTGTGGACTACCAACATGAGTCCTGGCTGGTGTGCACCGATATTGAAAACATAGAGAGGTACAGTGTAATGCAATATGCTTACACACTCATGGTCTCTCATGGTCAACAGAAAGCCCAGGCCACATAGTATTGGACATTACAAGTTATAGTAGACGTTTGTGTTTCAGTTTGTGTGTATGCTTCCTCTGTGACCATGTAGAGGTGGTAAATGGATTTACCCATGATTCACCCTGTTTCCTCAGGGACATGCGAGAGATGAGAAACCTACTCAGCAAACTTAGGGAGACCATGCCTTTACCACTAAAAAACCAAGGTAACTAGCATTTGTACTGTAAGAGTGTGTTAAATCATGAAAGATACATGAGATGGAAGGCACTGCACTGTACTCAGGTTCCTCTGTCTGTGTTGTGTCTAGATGACAGCAGTCTGCTGAATCTCACTCAATACCCGCTGGTCAGGCAAAGGAAGAGGCGCTTCTCTGGGTTCTGCTGCCTGGTGTCCGGCTGAGTGCCAGTCGGGTCCTGCAGGCAGCAGCAAGGTCAACACACCAACCCTACCCAACACCTTACATGTTATTACTGCCATTTGGAGAAGGAACTTTGTTTTGAACTAAAAGCTGATCAGTCTGTCTTTATTTAGTCATTTGATAATATGTAGAAAAAGCTATTCAAATGTAATGTTATGAACATGCATATTTTGCTATTATATTATTCAAGCTGTCTCTCTTTGTAGAAAAGGAGAACCCTTAGGTCCATAGGCGAGCACAAACAGATGTGCAAAACTGATGCCATAAGAGATGCAGTATGTTGGTAGACAGCTTTGACTAATCTCTGCCTTTAGACATCTTCCTCAGAATGTCATTATATTTCTTCACTGTGCGATGCTTCTTTTGCAGTCTTCCATGAAAGGAAATCTGTCTCCAACTTACGTTTTCCATCACAAGGGCTTTGCAATGCTCCATATAAAAAACATTTCTCATTTAATGTAAATACAGTATATAAATGCTGGTCAAAATTCTGTTTTGGATGAAACTTTCTTTGAATAATTTAACTATAGATGATCTAAAGATTGGATGTCTAAATCGTTTGCATTGATTTATTTTGATGTCTTGGCCGAAAGTGTACAGCATGAATATTGCTAGTAGTATTGTTGAAGATGTGTAGTGTATAGATGTTGTGCTATAGATTGTTCTACGGCTGACAGTATGTATAGGCCATTTTATAATGTGAATAAACTTTTTGTATTTAAATAATCATTTTTGTCTGGTTTATAGAGAGGCTCTGATCTGTTGTTTCTTGTTGGTTTCAGAGCCCACACGTGATATCCACTGAGAGTATACTTCAAATGAAGGAGACAAGTGGACATATTCTCTGTAGTTGTGGGTACTTGCAGAGCTATAGACTTCACCATGAAACAACATGAAACCCTTTTATATTTTATCAGTGTGACAGGAACGCAGTGTCCCATCCATCCCCTCTTTTTCCACACTCAAGGGAGTGTCAGGTGTCATAGTTGTAGAGACAACTTATTGCTGGTGAATATTACTGGAATCTGGAATTTCCATAACCTTCTTCCAGTAAGGGGACAGGATGGAGGGTTTCAAAAGGAGGGATTGGAAGACGGGAACTTGGAACTTTGTGTTGTCAAGGCTTAGAGTCTTAAGTCTTTTTTTGTCTTATCTGTTAGGCTGGGTTTGTGGCTGATGCAGGAATTGGGTGTCTTCTTTGACAGAAAGACAAGTGAAATAACCAATTATCTTCACAGACCGATTCTCCTGGGAGGTCATTTGGGAGGGATATAGGAAGTAATGCCCCTAGACATACAGTACAAGTCAAAAGTTTGAACACCTACTCATTCAAGGGAATTTCATTATTTTTACTATTTTCTACATTGTATAATAATAATGAAGACATCCAATCCCTGATGTTTAGTTCATTTCATCCCGATCTCCTCTGCATTATTTGTAGCCATCTGCTGCAGCCTGTCAACTATGCCTCTGCCTATCCCTGTTCTCTCCTCTCCGCACAGGCTACACAAACGCCTCACACCGCGTGGCTGCTGCCTCTCTAACCTGGTGGTCCCTGCACGCACCACACACCTGGAGTTCCAGGTCTCAGGCAGCCTCTGGAACTGCCGTTCTGCCGCCAACAAGGCTGACTTCATCCCAGCCTATGCTACCCTCCAGTCCCTCGACTTCCTGGCGCTGACGGAAACATGGATTACCACTGAAAACACTGCTACTCCTACTGCTCTCTCCTCGTCTGACCATGTGTTCTCGCATACCCCGAGAGCATCTGGTCAGAGGGGTGGTGGCACAGGAATCCTCATCTCTCCCAAGTGGACATTCTCAATTTTTCCCCTAACCCATCTGTCTATCTCCTCATTTGAATTCCATGCTGTCACAGTCACTAGCCCATTTAAGCTTAATATCCTTGTCATCTATCGCCCCCCAGGTTCCCTTGGAGAGTTCATCAATGAGCTTGACGCCCTGATAAGTTCCTTTCCTGAGGATGGCTCACCCCTCACAGTTTTGGGGGATTTCAACCTCCCTGTGTCCACATTTGACTCATTTCTCTCTGCCTCCTTCTTTCCACTCCTCTCCTCTTTTGACCTCACCCTCTCACCGTCCCCCCCTACTCACAAGGCAGGCAATACGCTTGACCTCATCTTTACTAGATGCTGCTCTTCTACTAATCTCACTGCAACTCCCCTCCATGTCTCTGACCACTACTTTGTTTCCTTTTCTCTCTCGCTCTCCTCCCACACTACTCACTCTGCCCCTACACAGATGGTAATGCGCCGCCGCAACCTTCGCTCTCTCTCTCCCACTACTCTCTCCTCTTCCATCCTATCATCTCTTCCCTCTGCTCAATCCTTCTCCCTCCAATCTCCTGATTCTGCCTCCTCAACCCTCCTCTCCTCCCTTTCTGCATCCTTTGACTCTCTGTGTCCCCTATCCTCCCGGCCGGCTCGGTCCTCCCCTCCAGCTCCGTGGCTTGATGACTCATTGCGAGCTCACAGAACAGAGCTCCGGGCAGCGGAGCGGAAATGGAAGAAAACTCAACTCCCTGCCGACCTGGCATCTTTTCACTCCCTCCTCTCTACATTTTCTTCATCTGTTTCTGCTGCTAAGGCCACTTTCTACCACTCTAAATTCCAAGCATCTGCCTCTAACCCTAGGAAGCTCTTTGCCACATTTTCTTCCCTGCTGAATCCCCCCCCCCCCCCCCCCCCCCTCCTCTCTCTCTGTGGATGACTTCGTCAACCACTTTGAAAAGAAGGTTGACGACATTCGATCCTCGTTTGCTAAGTCTAATGACACTGCTGGTCCTACTCACACTGCCCTTCCCTATGCTTTGACTTCTTTCTCCCCTCTCTCTCCAGATAAAATCCTGCGACTTGTGACTGCAGGCCGCCCAACAACCTGCCCGCTTGACCCCATCCCCTCCTCTCTTCTCCAGACCATCTCCGGTGACCTTCTCCCCTACCTCACCTCGCTGATCAACTCATCCTTGACCGCTGGCCATGTCCCTTCCGTCTTCAAGAGAGCGAGAGTTGCTCCCCTTCTCAAAAAACCAACACTCGATCCCACTGATGTCAACAACTACAGACCAGTATCCCTTCTTTCTTTTCTTTCCAAAACTATTGAGCGTGCCGTCTTTAGCCAACTCTCTTGCTATCTCTCTCAGAATGACCTTCTTGATCCAAACCAGTCAGGTTTCAGGACTGGTCATTCAACTGAGACTGCTCTTCTCTGTGTCACGGAGGCTCTCCGCACTGCTAAAGCTAACTCTCTCTCCTCTGCTCTTGTCCTTCTAGACCTGTCTGCTGCCTTTGATACAGTGAACCATCAGATCCTCCTCTCCACCCTCTCCGAGCTGGGCATCTCCGGCGCGGCTCACTCCTGGATTGCGTCCTACCTGACCGGTCGCTCCTACCAAGTGGCGTGGCGAGAAGCTGTCTCCGCACCACGTGCTCTCACCACTGGTGTCCCCCAGGGCTCAGTTCTAGGCCCTCTCCTTTTCTCCCTATACACCAAGTCACTTGGCTCTGTCATATCCTCACATGGCCTCTCCTATCATTGCTACGCTGACGATACACAACTAATCTTCTCCTTTCCCCCTTCTGATAACCAGGTGGTGAATCGCATCTCTGCATGTCTGGCAGACATATCAGTATGGATGACGGATCACCACCTCAACCTGAACCCTGGCAAGACGGAGCTGCTCTTCCTCCCGGGGAAGGACTGCCCGTTCCATGATCTCGCCATCACGGTTGACAACTCTGCTGTGTCCTCCTCCCAGAGTGCGAAGAGCCTAGGCGTGACCCTGGACAACACCCTGTCGTTCTCCGCCAACATCAAGGCGGTGACCCGCTCCTGCAGGTTCATGCTCTACAACATTCGGAGAGTACGACCCTGCCCCTGCCTTACACAGGAAGCGGCACAGGTCCTAATCCAGGCACTTGTCATCTCCCGTCTGGACTACTGCAACTCGCTGTTGGCTGGCCTCCCTGCCTGTGCCATTAAACCCCTACAACTCATCCAGAATGCCGCAGCCCATCTGGTGTTCAACCTTCCCAAGTTCTCTCACGTCACCCCCCCTCCTCCGCACACTCCACTGGCTTCCAGTTGAAGCTCGCATCTGCTACAAGACCATGGTGCTTGCCTATGGAGCAGTGAGGGGAACGGCACCTCTGTACCTTCGGGCTCTGATCAGTCCCTACACCCAAACGAGGGCATTGCGTTCATCCACCTCTGGCCTGCTGGCTCCCCTTCCTCTGCGGAAGCACAGCTCCCGCTCAGCCCAGTCAAAACTGTTCGCTGCTCTGGCACCCCAATGGTGGAACAAGCTCCCTCACGACGCCAGGACAGCGGAGTCACTCACCACCTTCCGGAGACATTTGAAACCCCACCTCTTTAAGGATTACCTGGGATAGGATAATGTAATCCTTCTACCCCCCCCCCCCCCCCCCCCCCCCCCAAAAAAAAAAAATTTAAAGGGTTTCCCACTGCTAAGGGTGAACACAATGTGAGTCGTTCTGGAAGCGTCTGCTAATGACGTAAATGTGCCTTGAGAAGCCTTAACCTAATTGCCCAAGCTTCTGCTAAGACTAAATGTAAATGTCACTATAATAAAACCTATATCTGTAGTAACCAAGACAAGTTAAACAAATCAAATATATTTTAGATTTTAGATCTTCATAGTAAGCCACCCTTTGCACACTCTTGGCATTCTCTCAACCAGCTTCACCTGAATGCTTTCCAACAGTCTTGAGGAATTCCCACATATGCTGAGCACTTGTTGGCTGCTTTTCCTTCACTCTGCGGTCCAACTCATCCCAAACCATCTCAATTGGGTTGAGGTGGGGTGATTGTGGAGGCCAGGTCATCTGATGCAGCACTCCATCACTCTCCTTCTTGGTCAAATAGCCCTTACACCGCCTGGTGGAGTGTTGGGTCATGGTCCTGTTGAAAAACAAATGATAGTCCCACTAAGAGCAAACCAGATGGGATGGCGTATCACTGCAGAATGCTGTGGTAGCCATGCTGGTTAAGTGTGCTTTGAATTCGAAATAAATCACTGACAGTGTCACCAGCAAAGCACCCCCACACCATCACACCTCCTCCTCCATGCTTCACGGTGGGAACCACACATGTGGAGATCATCCGTTCACCTACTCTACGTCTCACAAAGACACGGCGGTTGGAGCCAAACATCTCAAATTTGGGCTCATCAGACCAAAGGACAGATTTCCACCGGTCTAATGTCCATTGCTCGTGTTTCTTGGCCCAAGCAAGTCTCTTCTTATTATTGGTGTCCATTAGTAGTGGTTTCTTTGCAGCAATTCGAACATGAAGGCCTGATTCACACAGTCTCCTCTGAACAGTTGATGTTGAGATGTGTCTGTGACTTGAACTCTGTGAAGCATTTATTTGGGCTGCAATTTCTGAGGCTGGTAACTCTAATGAACTTATCCTCTGCAGCAGAGGTAACTCTGGGTCTTCCATTCCTGTGGCAGTCCTCATGAGAGCGAGTTTCATCATAGCGCTTGATGGTTTTTGCGACTGCACTTGAAGAAACGTTCAAAGTTCTTGACATTTTCTGGATTGACTGACCTTCATGTCTTAAAGTAATGATGGACTGTCGTTTCTCTTTGCTTATTTGAGCTGTTCTTGACATAATATGGACTTGGTCTTTTACCAAAAAGGCTATCTTCTGTATTCCACCCCTAACTTGTCACAACACAACTAATTGGCTCAAACGCATTAAGAAGGAAAGAAATTCCACAAATTAACTTTTAACAAGGCACACCTGTTAATTGAAATGCATTCCAGGTGACTACCTCATGAAGCTGGTTGAGCGAATGCCAAGAGTGTGCAAAGCTGTCATCAAGGCAAAGGGTGGCTTCTTTGAAGAATCTAACAAATAAAATATATTTTGATTTGTTTAACACTTTTTTGGTTACAACATTATTCCATGTGTGTTATTTCATAGTTTTGATGTCTTCACTATTATTCTACAAAGTAGAAAATAGTAAAAATAAAGAAAAACCCTTGAGTAGGTGTGTCCAAACGTTTGACTGGTGCTGTATATTTCCCCTTGTTGCAGGTTGCTGTATCAGATCCAAACTAACATGCAATAAACAGAATGACTGTGGGGACAACTCAGATGACAATAACTGTGATGAATTCAACATTTTGTGTCCTGTTGAGAAGAGAGTGGTCCCTGAGCTGACCTCATAGGAAGCAGGTAGGTTAAAGGTCAAAGGTCAGCATAAGACATTGTCTGGAGCAGTGGTCAATGTCACAGTAGATGTTTCGCAGTAGTCAGTGGCATAAAAACAGATAAGGACTGCTTCATGTATCAGTCATGGAATATCTTGATATTGCTGCCAACACTCAACGTGTCCTGTGATTTGAAGAAAAGTAAAGTAACTTCAGGGTCAATGCTGCTGGCTTGTGTTATTGTCCTGTTTCAGGTTCGACACTGTGGCAGAGGACATGAGGGGTGCGGTTCTGGAGAACATGTTCATGGGGGACACCTGCAACCTGAGGCAGCAGCTACAGGCTCTACTACTGCGACCCAGCCAACGTAGAGAGCTTTGAGATCAAGGTACAGTACTACTACATCTCATCTCAGGATATTTCCCCATGTTTAACTGGTCTGGGATCAGTCTGGGATTAGGTCTAGCTATGGTTCTGCTTCAACAGGTGGATATCCCAGATTACTTTAAACAGCCGACTGGATCTCACGAACAGTGGCACAAGAGCACAACCTAGTGGTCAAAAGTAGGCACGACACCCACGGGTAGACCAGTTTTCCTTGTTTTGTACCAAATTCATGAATTGTCTATTTGTCTGTGTTTGATTTTCATAGGTTTAACAGAAGAGCATACCAAAGGATGCCTCAGGTCTGAGTCGAGCACAAACATCATAATATACTCGCAAAGTTCAAATGCTATAAGATGCTCCGACAATACGATGACTCAAAAACCTGTTGTTGTTTTTTATTACCGGTACACACAAATCTAACATTGCTCTAGTCATCTTTACTTTTTACTTGTTAGGTTGCATTATGTATCTCTCTCAAAGGTTGTGATGAGAATTGGAATTTCACCATTTACTGTTACCTCGTTGTTGGTAAGGCTCTTTCGTGCAGTCGTCAAAAAAGTATTTCTTCATTGTGCGCGGAGGCAGGACCTGAGAGGCTGCAGGCCTGGGAGAGGAAAGGGGCTGCCCCTGACAGCACCACTTATAAGAACTGGGCCAAATCCCTCATAGACAACCCTGCTGTAGTGGAGTATGAGGTCAGAACTCACTCTATGGAATATAATGAAATATGAAAACAATTAATTCAGTTAATTCATTGTTTGTGTATATATGACTTATGTTTATGATTAGCTGTGATATAGTGTATTCATACAATCTTTTTGAGATACAGCACTGTCCTAAGACAAAAACCATGTCACTTCCTGTGAGAAAGGGGTCACCAGCTGTTGCCCATCGTAGTACACACCAGACAGTGCTGAATGTGGTTTGACTCCTGGTCCAAAGTACACACCAGACAGTGCTGAATTTTGTTTGACTCCTGGTCCAAGTACACACCAGACAGTGCTGAATTTGGTTTGACTCTTGGTCTATTTACACTAGACAGGTTTCAATTTGGTTTCCTCAGATGCAGTAGATGGTTACTGGAGCTGCTGGGGAGCATGGAGTGCCTGTGATGTGTCCATGAAGAGAATCGTACCAGAGAGTGCAACAACTCCGCTCCCCTGAGGGGGGGCAAACCCTGCCAGGGACAGGCCAGAAAGGAGGATGGATGCTTAATCTCCATCCTCCTTTCATCTCTGTCCAGTTTATTATTTAGTACCGGCTCAGACCCCCCTTTGCCTCCAGAACAGCCTGAATTCTTTGGGGCAGTCTACGGAAACATTCCACAGGGATGTTGGTCCATGCTGAAGCGATGGCATCACGATGGCATCACGCAATTGCTGCAGATTGGACGGTGGTACATTCATGCTGCGAACAGCCGTTCTCTCATCCAAAATATGAACTCGCTGCTATCATGTTCCAGGGGATGTTTTTCCACTCCTCAATTGACCAGTGTTGGTGATCGCGTGGTGACTGGAGTCGTTTCTTAGTTGATAGGAGTGGAACCCGATGTGGTCTTCTGCTGCAATAGCCATCCCTGACAAGGATCGACAATTTGTGCGTTTCCCGAGATGCCATTCTGCACTCCACTGTTGTACTGCACCGTTATTTGTCTGTTTGTGGCCCTCCTGTTAGCTTGCAAGATTCTTGCCATTCTCCTTCGACCTTTCTCATCAACAAACTGTTTTCACCCACAGGACTGCCGCTGACTGTATGTTTAGTTTTTTGCACCATTCTCGGTAAGCCCTAGACATTGTCGTGCGTAAAAAGCTCAGGAAGGCGGCTGTTTCTGAGATACTGGATCTGACGCGCCTAGCACCGACAATCATACCACACTCAAAGTTGCTTAGGTCACTCGTTTTGCTCATTCTAACGTTCAGTCGAACTGAATGCCTCGATTCCTGCTTCATATAGCAAGCTACGACCACATGACTTACTGTCTGTAGAAGCGATCCATTTTCGTGAACGGGGTGGTGTACCTAATGAACTGCCCAGTGAGTGTATATGCCTGAGTGCGTTTCTGATTTTGTGTTGGTGTGTTTTTCCTCCGCAGGCAAAATGTATGTGTCAATGATGAGGACTTTGCCACAGAAGGGTGGGCAGAGGGCTTGCCTCCCAGTGTGGAGGGCTGCCCAAAACCCAAGAGTCCTGCTAACAGCCACCTGACTAACAGCTAACTGCTAACAAAGCTAACAGAGAAAGAGCTAACTAAAGACCATGAAAAGAGTGCTATTTCCAAAGGCTCTGGGCCAGCTCTCAGTGATGTCACATAGTCTCAGGTGACCTTTCCCTGTCTTTGTACCCTTAGTTACCATCTTCATCATTCTGTCTCGCTCTGTCTCTCTGTCTTTGTCTGTCTGTCTCTCTCTCTCTCTCTCTTTGTTCTTTTCTGTGGCAGAAAGATAAGCATTACTATGAGTTTTGGGGACATGGAGGATTTCCTGTGCTTCACAGGGTTTGAGCTGGAGGGTTACCAGTTCATCAACTGTCGGCCTGATGGGACCTGGACCCCGCCCACAGGGATGTGCATCAGTAAGTCTTTCCTGCTAATTATAATATATGTATAGAATGTGAACGGAAGGCATAACATTCTCTCCATAAAAAACCTCTGGACTTTGGAATACATGTTTTTCCAATTCAATAGCTTATCTATGACATCCGTTTTTGTTGTAATTTGAAACCAATTTTGTTGAGTATTTGTCCTCCATCTTAGGGAAGGTGTGCCCTCCACCTGCCATGCCTGAGTAGTACAAGGTGGGCCACTCTGTGGGACTCGACTGCACTGAGAAAAGCATGACACCATCAGGGCGGGGCTTCTACACCTGTTGTAAGAGTCTAACCTGGGAGCCTCAACTTCCTGATTACCTGCACTGCAAAATAGCTAGAGACTGTCTCAAAGGGGTTTTGAAGAAACATTAGAGGATGTTGGTGGAAAGTTGGTGTCCTTATTAAGTCATCATATAGTGCAGGGTTCTTCAATTCCGGTCCTGGAGGGCGAAACACTTCTGTTTTTTATTTCTACCTGGTAGTTAATTGCACTCACCTGGTGTCCCAGGTCTGAATTAGCCCCTGATTAGAAGGAGAGGATGAAAAACAGAGGTGTTTCGGCCCTCCAGGACCGGAATTGAAGAACCCTGATATAGTGTATCGACAATCAAGTGAAGATCACATGATTGACAATAGGATTCAATTACACAATTACGTAATTGGATGTTTGTCCTGTCTGTGTGTCTGTCCAGATAAGCCGTTTGTTCCTAACACTCAATGTGGGGGAGGAGAGAGGCATGATAGTTCCAAATGTATCTGCGTGGCTTTCATGTATCAATCTTCATGAAGTCATGAATAATTTCATATTAATGGGATGTTAAGTGCCTTTTAATGTTAGCTAATCACATGCATTTGAAGGCCACTGGAATCATTTGGTTCCCAAATCAGTCTGTTTATTCTAGATTTGTCCTCTACTTGGATTGATCTTAGGTTTCCATGTCTGTGTGTGCTCTACCTTTGTATGTGTTGTGTGTAATGCAGCGCATACAAAATTAGTTCTGCATCTTCCGTGCTGAAGTTGGCAGTGTTATGATGATGTCCTACTGTGGTTTCCACTCAGGTCATTGCCATGGTGACCAGTTCTTCTCCATGAATGTGGGTCCATGTGACAAGGATGCGGTCAGCCTGGACTGGGCCAAGTTCAGTGCCACCATGTCTGCCAAGAGCTGTCCAGGAGCCCTGCAACTCTAACACCTGTTACAATTCGGAGAGCTGGACCGGTAACTCTGACTGGACACAGATTCTCTCTACGATTCAGATAGCAGTTGACCACTTTCAGCTGAAATAACCTTATCTGCAAATAGTTTTAACTAGTTAAGATGCAATACAATTAATTATTTGTCAAATATTAATTTGTTGATAGGGTTTCAACATAGCAAAAATAATTTCATATCCCTGTGCTCTTTCCTTTTGTCTTTGTGTACTCAGAGTCCAAACAATGTCTCTGTAAAGTTCCCAAGGACTGTCCTGAGGGAGAACACATGTTCTGTGTGAAGCTGCTGAAGACCCAGAGCAAGAGGAGTATGAACCTGTGCTCCATGGCTGCCATCAAGTGTAGAAAGATGGTGTTTTAGATTCTCAACGAAGGCCTGTGTGAAGAGTCCACAATCAGTTCATACTGTCCCCATCCTCTTCCCATATTCTATCACTCTCTCCTTGTCCATAATACCATAGAGCACACACTACATTTAACTATAAAGACTAACGTTCAGAGGAGCACATTTTGTCCCGTTTCAGTTGAAGCTTGGTTCAACTTCATTTGCTAAAATTGAGTTTGTTAACTTCTTTGCAGGTTATTTTGTACTGGTATTGTGACTATTTGTTGTTGTTGACTATTTGCTTTTGTGACTTAATGCAATCAACTTTATTGTAAACACAATGTAGCGTTTAATTGAAATTAACAAAAACGCAACCTTTGCTCTTTATTTTCAACTTGCAACAATCCCAGTAATCTTTTAGATGTATTTTCCAGACGTTGACATAACGTGCATTTCAGGTGCTGAAAGGTTACAAAACATCTTATACAGACATTGAAAAGACATCTTATACGGACGTCAAAAATATAAAAAAATACTTCCGGACATTGAAATTAGGTGCATTTTAGATGCTGAATGAAAGATAAAAATACATATTTTAAGGAAGTTGACAAGCTGTCATTTACAGACATTGAAAATACGTATTTTTCAGTCATTGATTCTATGGCCAAATTTCAGCTGCCGTGGACATTGAAATCAAGGACAGTCCGGACAGCACCAAAAAAATACCCCAAAAAGATGGAGGACCAAAAAAGGACATCCAAAAAACGTTGCCTGAAGTCAAATGCTTAATGGGATAGTTCCCTCCATTACCATTACCATGTAGAGTAGAAATGGATAGCTCTACCTTGATGTACACTTTATTAGAATATAAGGGACTACCTCTCTTCTATGTAAAAAACCCCAAAAACATTACAATTATGGGTTAAGAATACTGTTTTAAAGTGCAGAACAGGCCTCGATGCTGACCACATCAAACTGCTCCCCCTGGCACCTCCGAGCCCCCAGCTCACATTCTGACATTGTCACAGCGACAGCATTGTCTGGTAGTTTGACACAGAGCTGGACGGAGGTGTCAAAGCACTCCTCCTGGCAGGAAGTGAGCCCCTGATTCGACCAATCACAATCACTGTCCTTCACCAGCTTGAAGCTCCGCCCCAGACACTGCAGAGCTCCAAGTTGACACATGCCCACTTTACTTGTTCTGCCTGTGTGGAGGGTGGCACATAACTGCAGGGATGGCCTTTAAGATACAAATAATCAGATTAAAATCTCTTATTTATTTCCAATGGCTTGTATATACTTAGTTGTATTACCCTGTCAAAAGTCAAGAAATGTGAAAAGACTACAGTTGAAATACTCACTGGCATTGGTATGGAAGCTTACACACACACTGACTCTTTCCTGGTGATTCCCATAGTTTGCAGTTCAAGCCAAGTGGAGGGGTGGGACCATTTGGCACTGGCACACATAGAATAAAGACATCAAAATTAATATTTAATTGAAAGGGATGCATCCTCATTTCATTTCAGAGTACAGATGCTAAGAATTCAGTATATTGATTCCCATGTAGCAGTTGAATCTCTGGTTCTCTTACCTTCTCTGCACCTTATGCTGTCTGGGGATGGAGACCACTGCAGACTGGAGCTGCAGATGATCTCTGCCATGCCCTCTCTCATCATCCCCACAGGACAGGACAGGGACACCCTGTCCCCGATCTGATAGATCACTTTCAAGGGCGTGCCTGTGACATCATTCTCAAGGGACGGAACATCACATCTTGCACCTAGAATAGAGTTTGAGCAAAGACAGTACAGTATGAAGATAGGCTAAAACTGCTTCTCCAATAGAAATCCCCGATCACACTTGCAGGCGATGTCATGGCGAAGTTGGCTAACTAAGCTCATGCGTAGAAACATGTAATTGGTTCTAACGGTCGTCTCGTGCCGAAATGTGCATGTGCAGGCCATCAAATCAAAGGCACTCCTTCTATATAAAGTTGTTTTTGACTAAAATGAAAATGTGTCAGTTGGTCACTTTCACGAGGTCGGAGTAATAACATGTTCAACTACTTAAGACATTGTCTTGACTCTAGGTTGTGCCTTTAGATTTTGAGAAAATTAACATCTAAAAGAAGAATTGTTCACTTCTCTCATTGACTTCTCAAACCCCAAACCCCGGCCTGGTCTGCTTCGCAAGCATTCCCGGAAGTCTTGCGATGTTGCGTCTCTGGGTTTAGAAACTCTGTGGTTTGAGTGAGTTAGATCCAACCTCAGTGTTTTAAAAAGGTAACCCATTGAATACCTACTCTTGCACTCCATTGGTCCTCTGGTCCAGCTGTTGTTGTCAGTGCACTCTGCCACAGTGTCTCCAGTGATGTAGTTGCCCTCTATACAGGAGTACTCAATCTTACTGCCCACAAGGTATACATCTCTGGGGCTCTAGATACAAATACATATGGATGCTTTTTCACAACATACAGCAGACAAATTCACACACACTTCAATTAAGGTTATTGAATTCTGCAACAGATAACAGGAATGTAAAGGTGACCATTACCAGGACAAAGCCATTCCTCAGGGCTGGTGGGGCTCCACATGTCTTGGGTGGACTTCTAGAGAGACGAAAACACTGAGGCTCCATCATCCTGCAGACAAACACACAGTCAACCCCCATAATCTGAAGCAGATGTGGAGGTTATTGTAACTGTAGCTACTGTGCTAAGGTGTGCTTGTTGTACACAGCGTATTTGGTGACAGGTCAAGTTTCCTCACTGTAAATGTTGTAGGTCTGGCTCTTCACAGGAAGTGTGTTCTGTGGGCAGCCCCACACAATGGAGGCCCCCTCGTCTGGGGGCGGGGTTAGTGCAGGTCCTAGACCTTGACCTTTGACTTTGAGAACAAGATCCCCATGACGACCAGCAGCTCCAGCCCCCATGAATCACCCCTTATAAAAGACAGAGCCAAAATATCACATTTATAACTCAATCATTATGGATAAATGGACAACAACATCATACATTGATCTGAAATCCTGCTGGCTCAGTGTCAGAGGCAAGAGGCCTGTAGGAACAATACAGTGTCAGTGGACAAGTCAGTACAGGAAGTGAGCAATTTAGGTTGTTTTACCTGGCTGCTCCCCTATAACAGTGCCACTTTCACAGGCAGGGCCCGAGGTACCAGGCCTGCAGACACATTTACACTCTGTGCCAGTCAGCAGGGGCTGCCCGTTGTTTTGGCAGGGCTGGCAGTGGCAGGGATGCTCCTCTGCCATGTACTCCTCTGTAGATCTCTTCAGATGGAGCTTCTTCAGCCCGGCACACTGCACCTCCTTCACCAGCTCATACAGAGGCCGCAGCTACAACATGGATGGACATGATACAGTATAACATGATGGCATCCCAAAAAAAGATGATATATATTGAATAAAAAGTTTATAGTTATATGAGATGTATGTGATTATGCTACCTTCATATTGATGACCTGAGGGAAGTCCTTGACAGAGCGGGCCCACTGGTCATACATCTGTCCATTGGCCTCAGGGTTCTCCAGGTCCAGGACACTTAGGCCAGCTATGAAGGACGTGTCTCCACCGATGACGTTGGTCTTAATAGGCAGCTTGTGGTTGTTATACTCTGCAGACAGGATCGTGGTTGAAGAGGTGATTACAATTCAATGTGTCTGTTATTGTCAATTCAGACCTATTCAATTCAGTAGCTTTCTATTCTTAACAATTCAGACTTGTTGATATTTTCTACTACTGTGTTGTTTTTGATTCATTGTAGCACTCGTGGTGCATACTGTGTATGTAAGGTGTACTAAGGGTGACATAAAAACTTGTAGGACCTACCTTTGGAGGTCTTGAGAGAGTTCACCAGTTTCTCACATGTGGTTTTGACCTTTTTCCTGAACAAGCGGCGCTTCTTCTTGGTAACACACCGTTGGTACTCCATATCCGTTGTGCCTTCAATCAGACAAAGAAGAAATCAGAACTCAGAAAAAGGAGAATGGTTGAAAAGGATTTGTAATCCCTCAAAGCTCATCACTAAGCTAAGGATCCTGGGACTAAACACCTCCTGGGACTAAACACCTCCTGGGACTAAACACCTCCCTCTGCAACTGGATCCTGGACTTCCTGACGGGCCGCCCCCAGGTGGTAAGGGTAGGTAACAACACATCTGCCACACTGATCCTCAACACGGGGGCCCCTCAGGGGTGCGTGCTCAGTCCCCTCCTGTACTCCCTGTTCACCCATGACTGCATGGCCAGGCACGACTCCAACACCATCATTAAGTTTGCCGACGACACAACAGTGGTAGGCCTGATCACCGACAACGATGAGACAGCCTATAGGGAGGAGGTCAGAGACCTGGCCGTGGGGTGCCAGGACAACAACCTCTCCCTCAACGTGACCAAGACAAAGGAGATGATTGTGGACTACAGGGAAAAAAAAAGAGGACTGAGCACGCCCCCATTCTCATCGACGGGGCTGTAGTGGAACAGGTTGAGAGCTTCAAGTTCCTTGGTGTCCACATCACCAACAAACTATCATGGTCCAAACACACCAAGACAGTCGTGAAGAGGGCACGACAAAGCCTATTCCCCCTCAGGAGACTGAAAAGATTTGGTATGGGTCCTCAGATCCTCAAAAAAATCTACAGCTGCACCATCGAGAGCATCCTGACTGGTTGCATCACCGCCTGGTATGGCAACTGCCTGGCCTCCGACCGCAAGGCACTACAGAGGGTAGTGCGTATGGCCCAGTACATCACTGGGGCCAAGCTTCCTGCCATCCAGGACCTCTATACCAGGCGGTGTCAGAGGAAGGCCCTCAAAATTGTCAAAGACTCCAGCCACCCTAGTCATAGACTGTTCTCTCTGCTACCGCACGGCAAGCGGTACTGGAGTGCCAAGTCTAGGTCCAAAAGACTTCTCAACAGCTTCTACCCCCAAGCCATAAGACTCCTGAACAGCTAATCATGGCTACCCGGACTATTTGCACTGCCCCCCCACCCCATCCTTTTACGCTGCTGCTACTCTGTTCATTATTTATGCATAGTCACTTTAACTCTACCCACATGTACATATTACTTCAACTACCTCAACTAGCCGGTGCCCCCGCACATTGACTCTGCACCGGTACCCCCCTGTATATATAGCCTCCCTACTGTTACCTATATATGCTCTTTTTTTTCTCAACACTTTTTTTGTTGTTGTTTTATTTTTACTTTTTTGTAAAAAAGAAATGCACTGTTGGTTAAGGGCTGTAAGTAAGCATTTCACTGTAATGTCTGCACCTGTTGTATTCGGCGCATGTGGCCAATAAAATTGATTTGATTTGATTTAATGCATTCAAAGCAACTAATACCATATTTAACTCTATCTGGTGAGAAAGTGGTCCTACTCACTGGTCTCTTTGAGGGCCTCGTTGTCAAACTCCAGCAGGGCCTGGTACTGGCCCCCCAGAGCCCCCTCTGACAAGTAGTGGGTGCCGTAGGTCTGCAGGATGGAGCGGTAGGCTGGGTAACTGTACGTGGTGGGGAGGGAGGACAGGGCCTTCCAGAAGCCCTCAGCCAGAGTGATATACTGGGGCACGGTGTTCTGGAACTGGGCTAGCGCCACCTGATTCTTTATGATCAGTAGCCTGTGAGACTGGCAGAAGAGAGGGACACACGCAGATAAGACCTAACCATCACACTGTACATACTCACGCAGGGCTATATTGTCATCAACCAGCTATAGTCTCAGTGAGTCACCTTGTCTTTGTTGAGCTCTGTGTGAAAAGTGCGGCGATCGTGTCCCCATAAGGCGTTGTCCTGGATGTGCTTCATGTAGGACCAGGAGCTCTCATAGGCCTCATCGGTGAAGTCATTCTCAACCTCTACCTAGGAAGATCCCACAGATTGTAGTTGTATTACTTCAGCAGTAAGTTACTGCCTGTTACTAAACCAGACATGTAGTATAGTATGGCTCACCTGGAAGGTGTACCTGAGGATACTCTGAGGCAGTCTGTAGAAGGTCTTGTGGTCTCCACTGAAAACCTTCCTGCACTGCCCTCCGAAGCTTAGTGTGTTAATGACACCAGACCTGAACTTCCCTGTCAGCACATCATACCTACAGGGGACAATACAAACCTTAACTCAGATACCCATCTACACATCTACAAGCCTAGATTATAACATCAACATGTTGGGAAATACAGTATAGCCAATGCATAGTGACCATTACATCAAATTTGCAAGATGTGTTGTAATACACATGTCATATGATGTTAGTGGTAGAGGGGGGTGTGCCTACCCTTTGCCAGTGTGGGCAGAGTTGGGAGGAGTCTTGTCCAGGTCACACACATAGTGGCTGTTGTCAGCATCACAGTGTCTCTCGTCTGTCCCGCCCTCCTCACAGTCCTGGTCTCCATTACATACCAGAGAGCGGCTCACACACTGTCCTAAGATACACATACATATGTAGTTGTTGTTGTTGTTGTTTATTAATCATATACATACATATCCGTCACCTGTATGAGATGAAAATACACACACACACAAAACAATACACTAAATCAGTACTATAGTGCACAAATATACATAAATTGTTTATTTTTACTGGTTTAATGTGGATTTTAAAAAGTACCTGCGGAACAGCGGAACCTTTCTCCACAGCCTGTGCCCAGGGGACATCCTTTCTTGGGGACACACTCTCGACTCTGAGAAGCCTCCCCAGAGCATGGACTGCCCCGATACTGGGCAAACACCTCAACTGTCCGTGTGCGGACCTGTAAATATTCAGAAAACATCATATTAATACATCCAAGTAAGAAAAATACCTTCCTTTCTTGAAGTCAATGCAATTAAGTGTGTGCGTGTGATTGACTGTGTGTACCTGTGTTTTTGTGCAGCCATCGCATTCAGACCATTCCCCATAAAGTCCCCATCTGCAGTTCTCAGGGCGCTCACAGCTAAGTGGATGGATGGAGACAATAATGTTCAGCTTTTACGTAGCTCTCTAAATGTCAACCATGAATTAGACACTCTGGTTCTCAGTACATACCGCATACGAGGGAGACAGGAGAGTAACAGAGTCAGACAGGACAGAGTTACATCCAAGTTCAACTAGGAGAAATAATGACATTCACACAGTCAGATAGTTATAGTAATCATCATTAATATTGAGAGGATAGGTGAGAGCTCCTTACCTTCATGATGCACACCAACGAGACAGACAGGTCTTTACCTCTGGTCCAGCACAGTGAGCCCAGCTCATTTAGCCAGTGAAGAGAGAGCTTACCCAACAGCACCCAGAGTACAGGAAATTCCACACTGGAGAAACACTCATGTTCTCTCCCCCAGCCAGACAACAATAAGGATGCATTCCCCCTCCCTTGCATGATGCGTAATGAATGGGGGCCTTGTAGCCCTGTGCCAGCAACAAACCTAATCAGTATATTTCTATCCATTTTGCGATGGGCTTTTATTCATTTCTAGTAAAAGTGTTGGTGGTGTCAATGTTTTTGTGATGGTATTGGGTAATACTGCATGTGCAATCATGAAGTAAGTGTTTTTGTTCAAGCAGAACCAGGACTTTGTTTCTGAGTTGGGAGGGAGTTGCGTAATCATGGTTTTTCCTGGATGAGTCTCTGCTCTGCACCATTGGAACAAAGGTCACAAGCCTGTATTTACCCAAGTTAGTAGAGCCATATTGTATGAGTTTGTCTACTCCAGTTGCTCCCAAGTAAATGTGTATGTAACGTATGACTGACTGTATGTATGATATCATGCAGACACAATATAGCAGCAGACAGAGTTATCATCTCATCCTGAACAAAATAAATAGTTTGTTTTTAGCTTTTGAGTTTCATAATTTACTGAAAAACTCAAGTACACATTTTTATTAGAGGTAGTTAGATGTGTCATTTAAAAATAAAAACAATCAGACATTAATAACATCAAATATAGAGCTTTTGAATGACCAGTCCTTGGACTGCAGTGTATTCGTCGACAGGCTGAATCTGTTGTAAGCCATGGGCACGTTGTAGCCCACTGACTCCGTTATCCTCTCTGCTGTCAACTGTCAATACCTTCACCAAGCCTGCAGGCCCTCTTAAACATACAGTATTTACCTTTCACTAATGTATTCCTCTCTCCCATAGTGATGTGGTGTTTACAGTACATGTCCTCATACATGTGTAGCACTATGGCCATGTGGAATGGTAAAAGAAAGTTTTACAATCACTGGGTTCAGATCTGCTGCATTGAGCTTAGATTTGGGGACACCTATTAAGATAAAACACAAACAATGTGTGGAGGGAGAAAGGTTTTACTATAGTGTTTAGTATAGGGTACACTACTACCATATAGTGTATTAGGTTAGGTACACTAGTATAGGGTAGAAAGTCATGTGTATAAAGTACCATAGGTACTTGTGTACCGTAGCAGAATGTTCCATGGTCACCACCACATTGGTTCCTACACTGGCCACTAGGTCCATATCCCCTCCCATTCCCTTCACCATCTTTCCATTTGGAAGGCAATGAAGAGAGAGAACACATGTTTAAACATTCATTATACACATATGTAGTCCTACGGTCGGCCAGCAGGGTGAAAGAGACATGATCATACCGGGATCATCCAGTTGGCCAGGTCCTCATACTCAGGGTTGGGTAGGTTACTTTTTAAAAAATGTAAACAGTTACTAGTTAACTGTCTAAAATTGTAATCATTAACATAACTTTTGGATTGCCTAAACACAGTAACGTAATCTGATTACTTTCAGTTACTTTTGGATTACTTCACCTGTAAAACACATAAGAAGAAAAAAAAGAATTTTACCAATTTAACAACATTCATTGCAGGATGTTTGAGCCACTAAGCAGAGCCACATTAGAACACATCACAAAACATTGTGACAAATTTATTTAAGCCCTGTATACCTGCCTCTAACATGCGTCCTTCATCCTGATCTTGTCCATTTACACCCATAAGATCTGATCAAAGTCAAACCACAAAGCGTCTTTTAATCATGTACACCTGTCTAAAAATGTGGGCACAAACACAATGTGCAGGACAAAGGATACATGTTAAAACCAGGTATAAGTAAGGGCTTAAGTAACACAGCAACATGGATGGTGATAAACACTTATCCCACGGGACACCAGTACAAAAAAGTATGAAAATGCATGCACTCACTACTGTAAGTCGTTCTGGATAAGAGCATCTGCTAAATGGCTTAAATGAGAAATAGAAATTTGAAGAAAACATTTATTTATTTTTTACAACATGCAGTGTAATCACACATGTAGTCCACCAAGTAGTTTTTTTTAAGTTTAAGCAAAAAAAGTGCTGCTAGGTGCAATAAACCCACATATCAGACATGCCATTGTAGTAGGCCTATTCTGAAGCTAGCCTACTCAGATGATTGAAGGCAGAAATTGCTGTTGTATCGCAGCAAGAGGACATGCTCTAGATGAGCATCAGACATCCTGTTTCGCTGAGGGGTAAACAGGTTTCCACCATAGCTGAAAAGGCGCTCAACTGGGGCACTGGAGGGCAGTGTAGTGTTGTACTTCAGAAACAAGTTCCGGACTATGGGGAACGATTTCAAGGAGTCCAAAGACTTGTCTTTGTCTTCAAGATACACCTCATCCTCTGCAGTGCCACTGGCCCCTGTTGTTGCACCTCCAAACACAAAAAAAAGATGGTCTTCTGACTCATCAGAATCGTTCTGTGCTTCCTCATCAACCTCTTCAGAGTGTGTGTTCTCCATAGAAGCTGCTTCTTGAACGAATGTGCTCCGTATCGCCTCTTGTCTTTCCAGGGTTGAACCAACACAGTCTAAACTTTGGCATGGTAACAGTTGCCATTTTTGCTTCATGGGTGCTTAGCATAGGTCCAAACCGGCGTTCTATAGCCTCAATGACCGCAGTGATGATGTGTGCAGAGAATGTCGCAAGAGGCATTTTCTCGGAGAGCTTAGACTTCAAGCTTAGGATTGTTGGGATAAGAAAGCCAAGAAAACACTTCTTCTCTCCCTGAAGAAGATCAATAGAGAATGCGAGTGGCTGTAGGGCAGTACTGTACTCCTTGAGAAAAGCAATCTCACAAGGATGTCGTTTGCTGCTCACACCCAGGTCTTCACAGATTTTCCCCAGCTGGTCATCTGTGGGGGCTATGAGTTTGGAGATGGCACAGTACTCGGAGCTCCATCTTGTCACACATGGCACAGTTACTTTCATGCTTGCAATGTCCTCTATTGCCTCTGAAGCTAATGTGGACCTGTGTGCTTTGTTCCAAATGCTGGAACATTTTGACATTGCACTTCTGTACAATTTTCGTGATGGACCTTGGGATGCAGCTTTGTCCACCTCATTGGTGGCGATGAGGTTGAGGGTGTGTGCCACACAATGTTGATGTGGAGGGAGAAAAAAGTTCAGTTCTTGCTCAACCTCCTCAAAAATCTGCCCCACATCATTAAACCTCACTCCATCATCCGTCTCATCTTGCTCCTCTTCATTTGAACTACCGGAATGCCTTTAAAGTTGTTTCCATTGTCTGTCACTGTGGCCCTCACTTTGTGCGGAATTTTTAAGTCGGCATGTATTTCACTTAACTTGGCAGCAATCGTAGGTATGACATCCTCTCAGTCTCGCACAAGCCAAAGCAGCTGACTTCCTCTCCAAGGTGTCTTCCTCGATCCAGTGGCATGTCATGCCGAAGAAGCTTCTGTTATGGGCAGACCAGATGTCTGCTGTGGTGCAGACTGACTTTACGCTCTGGAGTTTGGTGAAGAGAGCTTCTTTCATGGACTCCAATTCCCTTTCAATTTGTTGCATCAAAGTCTTTTTACACATGATCTTTCTCCCACCATTGATTTCCTTTACTAGCTTGCGGAATGAAGGCACCTCTACTAGTGAAAAGGGTTGCACATCCTCTATGATGAAGTCAAATACCAGGTGATTAACCTGGTTTTGTGAGGTGTGTTGTCCTCCTGGTTGTAGTTTTGCTTGTTTCAATTGTGTACAAGGTGTGTCTTTTTGGCCATCTGTAGATGGCTGTGCATCTCTGCACTCCTCCATGTCATCTGGCTGCCTTTTCCTGCTCAGGGTCTTCCATTGATTGTTATGCATCCTCTGAATAAACCAAATGTAATTACTTAACTATGACACTACAGTATAAGTAAAATAACAGTGGAGTGAGCACCTTGTTATTGTTTCAATTAAAGATTGTAGCTTTACCCAACTTTTGTCCACCCTTTTGAAACATATGTTTCACTTTCTATAGCCTGCCCCTGTCTGATAAACACAGGGCTGGGGTTGGAACATGTAACCACTCACACATGGATAAAGCTGTGGATGCAAGGATGTCTATGGTGGTTTATATTGTTTGTCTCGAAATATTCAAATATTTATTTTTAAACAATGGACTAATACAGTATTATACTTTGAGTTATGATTGAATAATACAGGCATTTATTTGGGTTGAAAAAAACAATTGAACAGCAGGAAAGCTGCAGTGTGGCTTTATTGATTTGGGTAGCATGTTACTCTGAAACCATAGCTAGCTAACTAAGTTATCAACAACTCTGACAGTGAGCATCTTGTTATGTTGGGTTACAGAGTGCAACTAGCTTTCAAAACGTTTTTTTAAGCTTTTGATTTAGCTAGCTAGCTAGGCTATGTAGCCCAGTGAATCTTACCCAACTATCTACAACTGATTTATTTTAGTTAAAATAGATTTAATTTGCGAAATTGTTAACAAGTTAGCACAATAGCATACTTGCTATGATATCTTGCTAACTACAGTAGTTATCAACCGACAGAGCAACCTTAAGTGAGCAGCATACCACATAGTGTAGGAGAGTTGGCAAGCAAACTAAAAACAGGCTAGCTAGCTAGAAATCTGACTAACTAGCTAGCTACTACTCCCTGAAATCTCCGACCTATGCTGGAACATTGGTAACATCGTGAAGACAACCTGTCTGTTTCTAGAGACTAGCTAGCTAAGCAAGCTAACGCGCCACACCTGCCAATCGTCATCCTTACCTCCAAGTGTTTACTTCAGGTTCGAAGTCGAGTCTCTGGATGTCATCAGCAGCTTTACTGTTACATTACTGCCGTTTTCTTCTTTGAACACAAATTGTTATTTGAAACGCCATCCAGAAAATGCACTGCGTTGGCGCGCCATACCTTTTTATATTGTGACAGTGTATGTTGCTCAGGCGGGAAGATCAAAGTAGCACTTTTTCGGTTAATGACAGATGTTAATATGAAAGGTAATTAAGAAGACAGGCAATTGTTTCATGGACATTTTTTTTCTGCAAACATCCCTTCTAAATTTGAAAGTAATCCTAGAAGTAATTATCTACTTTTTCAAAAGTATTGGTAATCTGATT